AGCTCCTTCCAAGTAGAAATTCATTTTCTAACTTCAATTTATTCCTAGTTTCGTATGAGATCTTCGAAAGCCTTATCTTAAGTTATGTAATCATTGTTATGTTTCAGGATATAGATCCCAAAGGAACTGGCGTTCTACGAGCTGATGACATTGAGACAGCATTGACTACGGCTTGCTTTCTCAATGATCAACGACTGAAACATGACAGGAATATTGCAAAACACGAAAAAAATAATGCTAAATGTATTTCTTTATATGGATATTGAAGATGAAATATAGAATCTATATTTTATAGGAATTTCCACATGACCACTGCACGTTCATATGAATATAAGCATGAGATTTACTCTACTATACCAGTTTCAAAGGAAGACGATGTTGCGGCACATGCACCCATAATGGATACGATCACAATAAGGTATATTACCATGATTGATACTTCAAATTACCCTATTACAATGTAATAAATAACGATCCTTGTGCTTTTATCTTAAAAGAATTCTTGAAACATATTTAACAGAGCACACCCCTTTGATGAGAAGCAGCGACAAAAACAAAATCCAAAGAGGAAATCCGGAACCATCTCTCAGACTGGTGTTGTTGCACGACGTGCAACAGGTGTTAGGGCTCACCATAAAATTAACGAAGAAAACATCCTGGCACATCGCCGATCAGACTATACTGATCATGAGATCGACAATGTATTGTAATGCATTGCATTTAGCTGCAATAATGTAGCCCTCTCCCTTTTTTGGGAGAGGGCTACAACTCCTTAGGATCTCCATAATGGTGAATCACTTCCGCACAGATTTCGGCTATACTAGTAATTATCAGAAAATGGCTATTTTATTAACATTTCTTACCTGGACTCCAAAAATGTAGTTATGCAAGACATAACTCGATCCAAAAATATTCATAACGATCCATACATAGCTCATTTTTCATGTCAACATTACAACTTGAATTTATCCGCCATATTTATTGACCTTGATAGATTTTTTAGGACAGCCAATGAGAATTCATAATCTTAAGAAGCGAATCTTTTAGGAATTCCCTTATTTAGATAAAGAAATGTTTGTTGAAGTATTGACAAATTTCATACCTTTATATAATGAAATCAACAAAAACTGCACAAAAATACAATCGTGACAATTATACAATTAATTCTTTTAATAGATTGCCTTAGCATTCATTACTTTAAAAGCCGTTGTTCTTCAGGAAAACAAAATGATGCAAAAGTGATGAGAAATGGTCTCTGGAGAAAAGAATGGCTGAAATTTTTAAAGTTTGTTAAATATACGAGCATATGTGCATTTAGGACCCTACGTTGTAATTTTTGTGCAGACGTTTACTACACGGGGATCTGCGAACATATTTAAACAGAAAAGGAAAAAAAAACGTTTTGTGTAATGAATATTATAACATTATTTAATAAATGTCTTTGTATAGTACGTTGGATTACAAATTTCACACAAAAACTCATCAAGACTATTAAATACAGTGTTTATTTCACATTGATCTATTAAGTCATTCTGATTTAATATAATTATACACGACGAGAATTTAGGTCTAATCAATACCTATAGAAAATTATTTAATTTCTAAAGAGGATAGTTTTATTTTAAATCAGTAATGAAAATTGAAATGAAAATTCTAAATAGTTTGTTCTTTCATTGAACATCTTAAAATAAATGTATGTTATTTTATAAATATGTTCTCTTGTATAACTTTATTTATGAAATATACAATTTTTTAAATGATAAAAAAAAACACAAATCGTCAACTTAATTCAAACGAATTTTCGGTCGGAGGCTGTGTGTGTACATGCTGGACAACAACCCATTGTTCCTTTTAGGTAGAAAACCGTCTCAATTCACATAGAATATACAAAAAATACACAGTGACAGGTGTCTTCGCGGCACGTGTCTCCACCTGATATGGCACGTGAGGACAGGTGCCCGTAGTTATTACACAGGCCGACTATAGTGACTTTCAAAAGTGTGGTTTTATTTTTTTTTGGGGGGGGGGGGGTACTTCTCAACGAAAAAATGAAAAGCAATCCACCCACCCCCAATAATAATAATAATCTAATAAATAAAAAAAAACAATCTTACTAAAGTAAAATACTAGTATGATAATACTCAGCCCCCAACCAATTCGATGGATTTTATCTGACCAGTTTACATTGATCTCTATGTAACCATACTTACTCTTCTATATTTTGTTTTTTTCAGACGATACGTTTCCCATTAAGTATCTGTTTTGTAAATCTTCATATTAATGTATAATAAATTTGTATACAAAATCTTTATTACTTTCTAAACTGGTTTTTAAAAATTTGAAACACTAAAAATGTAATTGTGACAAACCAACTGAAGTATTTTTTCCTGAAGGATTACCCCGGTATATAAGAGATACCAACCTCTGGTATCTCACACAAAATGCCTTGTAGGTACCTTGATATTTTGTGAATACATGTTATAATGTTAAAAAAGTAATTCTTCAATGTCAAAATATTGGAAAAAATTATAATTATATTATTAGGAACGTCTCATCTGTCCTTAATTACTACATTTTATATAATCGAAACTTGACATATTTCTTTATTTACTTTTTTATCGATCTTTTTTTTTTTACCTTTTCTGTAAATAATTTCATTAAAGGTTCCCTTCCTCCGCTCTTGCATTTTTTCAAAGGAACATTCATCATAGACAGCTTACAAGAAAGTGGGATCGGAAATGATTGATATCTACATAACTGCACTTACTTTTCTCTATTCCATTCCACGCATTCTATACGAGTTTACCAAAACTTATGTGATAAATCTTTAAAATTGAATTGCGTTCACGGTGCTGAAATATAAAATTTATCACACAGAAATACACATCTAGTTATTTTAACTGTTTGAAGGGAAGTTAATTATTTTGATACAGCATGTAAACACTTTTGAAATATTTCTATAATTGGTAAGCATATGGTAACATAAGGAAATATTTAACTTTTTGTAAAATAAAAAGTAGGTGGGCTAGTATTGAGATATATACTTTCAAAGTTTCTCTACCTGGGAAACATGGGGGAAACTACACATTGGTGGCTTCCATGTCGGGAATCTATATGGAAACCACTGAGGCATGTTTCCATGGTTTCCTATCTTGGGAAACTTACGGGAAACCACAGGTTGATTGTTTCCATGTTGGGAATCTACATGGAAACCACCGGGGCAAGTTTCCATGGTTTCCTATCTTGGGAAACTTACGGGAAACCACAGGTTGATTGTTTCCATGTCGGGAATCTATGTGGAAACCACTATGTGGTTTCCATAAAATGGAAACTATATGGAAACTACTGATGTCACGATTCCCATATGTTTCCATCGGGTTTCCAAATTTGGGAAACCTGGCTTTTCATCCTGTGATACCCCCCGCTTGAAAAGCGGGAGGGTATATAGTAATCGTTAATTCCGTCCGTCTGTCTGTACGTCCGTCCGTCCGTCCGTCTGTTACGCTTTGGGGGTACACATCTCTTATCCGCAACTCCTCTTATACCACTGGATGAAATTTGATGAAACTTTCACAGAATCTTTATTACATATTGCCATTGTGCACCTCCTATTTTACTTTTTGATCCGACACATATTTTGGGTTTTCCATAGCAAAACATGGACACTGCCATTTATACACATATGGGAGGCGGGGGGTATAATTTAGTGAGCCCATGCTCACAGTACCTCTAGTTTTAAGCATACGTTTGCGTAAAAATAACACTTGATATGGTTTTATTAATAGATATGTTTGTGATACCATTCAGTGCAATCATTTATAATCAAGGACATTTGCTTTATTAGTTGTTCTAAATTTCAAGCGAAAGTCTCAGTTCATCACGCGTGAACTGTCATGGCTGTTGAGTAAAGCGATTGGTTAACAAGTATAAATTTATTTTACATGGTTTTCGCGTTTAATAGGCTATGTTGTTGATAGTGAATAAAATTTCGTCTTAGTAGAACATGTAGAAGTAATTTGAATGTAAAAACAATTTATTTTGTCTGCAGTCCCCCGTATTTATACCCCCCGCTTGAAAAGCGGGAGGGTATATAGTAATCGTTAATTCCGTCCGTCTGTACGTCTGTTACGCTTTGGGGTACCCATCTCTTATCCGCAACTCCTCTCATACCACTGAATGAAATTTGATGAAACTTTCACAGAATCTTTATTACATATTGCCATTGTGCACCTCCTATTTTACTTTTTGATCCAACACATATTTTGGGTTTCCCGGCCACAGCAAAACATGGACTTTGCCATTATAATTATATGGAGGCGGGGGGTATCATTTAGTGAGCTCATAGCTCACATTACCTCTAGTTAAAAACTAGAGGTACTGTGAGCAATGAGCTCACTAAATGATACCCCCCGCCTCCCATAATGTCGATGTGTTGCTTTATATTGTTTTACGGTAATGTGTAAAGAGGAATAACTCGTCATATGAAATGTTATCCAGAAGCTTCTATTATGTGACGTCATAGGTAAACAAAAAAAATGGCAATGTCCATGTTTTGCTCTGGGAAACCTAAAATACGTGTCGAATAAAAAAGTAAAATAGGAGGTGCACAATGGCAATATGTAATAAAGATTCTGTGAAAGTTTCATTAAATTTCACTCAGTAGTATAAGAGGAGTTGCGGATAAGAGAAAAAGCGTAACAGACGGACGGACGGACGGACGGACGTACAGACGGACGGACAGACGGACGGACGGACGGAAATCCCGATCACTATATACCCTCCCGCTTTTCAAGCGGGGGGTATAATTATATTTTCTCAATTACGGAGATGCTGTGGAATTGTAGTCCTCTCCAGAAAGCATCGGAGAGGGCTATATTATTGCAGCTACATTGCATTGATATGATTTAAAAAGAAACGCATAGAAATTGTATCTATAATTCACCAACAAGTATTTACTTTGTTGATTACAAATTAAAGAAATACTCAATGATGATGTTTTTTGATATGTCTGTTGAAGTTACTCTTGTAGGGTGTAGTATATGTGCACATATAACAGGGATATTGACGCCCTTCAACGCAAGCTGATTTGTGCTGGACTAATCCACGTTTTGTTAAGAAATCGTTTCCACATTTCTCGCATTTTCTTTGTAATTGTTTATACTGACTTTAAATATGGTTCTTCAGATCTTTTTTATGAACATATGAGGCACTGCATCCATCCTCGGTACATTTATTTGGTTTTTCCTGGAAAAATAAAATTATGGCTTGATGTTTTATTCCGTGTAACAATTTTAAAAAACGTGTTATACAACATGAAAATGAAATTTTGAAGCTTAATATAGACGCATTTTAAAGAAATTTTGAAGCTTAATATAGACGCATTTTAAAAACAAATTCTAATTATTTATCAAAGATGTAAAGTTTGTACTTTTATCATAGGCGTTGAAACAGAGTGTGTGGTTAGGATGGGGACTTCTTTCTTTTCAGCTTATATTCATTTATAAATGAATAAATTAAACCTCTTTGTTTGTATGTAAGTTGTTTGGTTTTTTTTTTCAAAAAGAAATTTCGTAATTAAAATCATCCTTTTTTTCTATTGTGCTTCCATAGTCTTTAATATTCTTATATAGAATGTTCTTATTTTGATTACCCCAATGTGGTTCAACGTGTGACTTGTGTAGCGAGCTTTGCTGATAAACGTCTGACCACAAACTTGGCAAGTGTGGCGAAACTCTCCACGCTCCCTCATCTGATGCTCCCTCAAACCAGTGTATGATGTAAACATTTTTCCGCATTCAGAACACACTTAAATTAAGATAATGTTTTGAAAAACTTGGATTTTCAATACTTATTTTAACTGCTATTAGTATTATTTTCTATTTACATATACAATATACTAGTAGTACTTACAGTGAGTGAGAGCCTTGCCCTTTGGGGTGCTTGCTTCACCGGGCTCAAATACTGTAGACGTACTTTTTTCCACGGGGTCATAATTCCGCGGAATCTCAATTTCTGTCTAATCCGCGGGTAGAAAATTACGCGGATATCCTAGACTGTCACTATATGCCTTACATTTATAATAAGTACGCGTGGACAAATTTCCGCGGAAAATTGGTGACCGCGTACATAGCGTAAATTAATATCACGCGGAATAAAGTACTTCTACAGTACAAGAATGCTTCCATCAGATCCAGAAACAATTAAGTTGGGTTCTATTGAAAAATACAGTTCGACTACAATTGGATTGTGAAGATAAGAATAGAATTAAATGCTATTTAGCCTTATTTATATTAAGGGAAGTGTATAGGGTTTTTTCTCTCCAATTAAAAACGTTAACATAAATTTTAAAAAAAAATATCGAACTTAACTCAATTACAGAGCTTTAGAGAGTAAATGGTCAATGATGAATAAATGAATGAAAAACAACAAAACAACTAGGAATCACAAAAATTCTACAAAACAAAAGCTGAAATGTGAATGAAGATAAAACCATGCAAAGTAAATAATTTTTAACAATAGCTTACACTGAACATTTTCTCCCTGTATGGAAATAAAATTTGAATACTCAATGGAATAATTCATTTATAGAGTTAACTCAGTCGTTACCCCAAATGTCAATAAAATAAAGAAAAAAAATACCTGTGTGTGGTTTCCTCCTTCAAGCGATTTTTCAACTCCTGGAATACGTATTTTGATTCTAAAAGGTAAACATACGCAACAATATGGTAGAATAAAATCACGAAAGCTTCAATTAATGCACCATTCAGGCCTACATCCATCAAAATTTGTTGGCAAACTTTATACTGTTACTTAAAAAATAATTACATGTACAATCAATTTGACGTCCAAATCGACTACACCAGTAATGTACATTGAAATAAAAACCTTTCTCAATTTTATGAATAAAGTTTAAAGCAATTACAAAGTTAAAACTTTTCAGATTTCCAAGTTAGACAAGTAACTTTACCCTAGTCATGAGAAAACTTTACCCTAATCGTAAATAAACCGCGCTCAAACTTGACCCTAATCTGAAGCAGAATTTCTGTATGCGTTTTCTTAGTCAATAAGTGTAATTCAAGAAGGTTTTTTAAGTAAGCATGTAACATTGAAAAAGCCGCCATCTTAGACTAGGGTAACGCACTTTACCCTAGTCCGTTTCTACACAGTGAATTTGTTTGCACACACCATTGCAGTTATGAGACTTTATCTTTAAAAAAGTAATGATTCATTGCTTAAATATAGGACTTCACTTTGTTTTACTTCTTCACGCTAACGCAAAATCCATTGTGACGTCATAACTGCACTTAACTGTGGGATACGAAAACGATATCAAATGAGCTATATCCACGGGATATAGGGGTAAACATGGGATAAAAATATACAATATAATAGTCCGTATTATTAGTTACACAGTCAGTTAGGGACCTAATATGGAATCTTTAATGGTGTGAAATATAAATCCGTTTTGGTTGAGGCGAACTCCGTATTAGGTCCCTGACTGTAAAACTAATAGTATCTAGTATTATTTGTTGAATGCTTTATCATATATTCATACAATTATAATGTTTTTAACTTTATCATGAATAAAATATTTTGCATCATCGATATTCTGAATATTAATCATTTTGCAAACATTTTTTTGTGAAATAAAATGTTAAAAAACTACTTTAAACCCTGGACTTTCAGTAAGGCGTGGGTTTCTCGACGTTACCTAATTTACGTCTGAAATTTAAACAGCCTTACATTCACGATTGAAATATACATTCCGGCGAATGTCAACGAGTGTAGATATAATCCAGATAGTTTTTCGTACGGCAAAGAGGTTGGGCATAAGTCGTCTCAATGTTAACAACAATTTTAAAGTTGTCGATGCTATTAATTTCTTAACCAATGAGAATCTATTCGCTATTTGAGAGACGCTGATTACGTAGTGTCGAGAAAGTCACGCCCTCCTGAAAGTCCATGGTTAACTGAGAATTGTACTAAACAGTTGACTATCATTTACTGTCACAATTGTCTATCATTGGTAGGGTATTCTATTCTTGAATCTGCATATTGAGTGTTAACGCCCATCGTGGAGATATAAAAAATGTTTACATTGGGCCTAAAAAAAATTAATAACTTGGTTCTCAGGCCCGCCCGCATGTCATTTAACAATGCGCATTACCCATTTTTATCCTCAAATGAATAAAAAAAAATTTCTCTAGTGCGCTGATCGACTGAAAAAAAAATCCGGATTTCCCCGACCGCATTTTAGAATCACCAAGACTCAACCTCCATTTGTAAGGTAAGGAAGTGTGCGACCCGAGGAGCTCCGAGTAATACAGAGCATGGCAATGCAAATGGCGGTCGGATTAAAAGGTTGACTGAATCGTCAGTGAATGTTTGATATACAATAGCATTAATTTCGGCCCAAATTCGGAAGGGATCAACTGTTTTGCTTCCCTGGCATATAGTTGGTTGCACAAGCAATATCCGTTCCAGACCTCTTGCGTTGTGCAAAGGAGACTTGTCCATCAGAAACTGCTATACCTTCAGAACAATGGCTTAGACTTGCAATTTGCACCCAAATGTGCATCAACTTATGCTTCTTTACAGTTTACTGGCAAACTGAAAGTGAAATTTCAAGTACAGAGTAGACAGTTGCGTAAAACTCATGAAGATACACATTATGCATCGGCCACATTCAGGTATCTGAAAGAATTTTGTATCAAGTTTCGTGACTTTACCGTATTTGTTTGTATGGACGATAAACATCATTGCAAGGTTGGTGAACCAGGGAATCCTGTGGCTGCTGTGGAGAGAGGGAAACGTGTAGTAGTAGCTGAGGACAAAGTATTTGCAGTATCTGACCACGACTTCACAAAATTTAGCGTGGTACCAAGTGTTACCATGTTGGTAGATATACCTGAATCTCTTGAAGAGGGATCCTTCTACAGGGGACAGGCTTATGTTGGTGTAAAAGATTTGGTCCTTGAGCCTTCTTCACCACTGCGGCACATTGCTGAGCTAGAGCAGATTCTTTTGGATGAGGAATTGCATTCTAAGCCTATATTGTGTCTTTATACAGATGGTGGTCCAGATCATCGACTTACCTATTTGTCAGTACAGCTATCCCTGGTTTGTCTTTTTTTGAGCGGAGACTTTGATATGTTGATAGCAGCAAGGACTCCACCCATGGGATCATGGAGAAACCCACATAAGCGCATTATGTCAATCTTGAATCTAGCACTTCAGGTTGTGGGTTTAATGAGATCACAGGCTTCAGATGAGTGTGAAAAAAAGCTACGTTCAGCCAATGGATTAGGACACTCAGGGAAGTGGCAAAGGATCTGGCAATGCGGCAAGAAATGAAAGACTCTATTGACTTGAGCCAGTAAAGGTAAATATGTAGATCATGTACATTCACTTATAATGAAAGAAATTCCAGTTTCTGCATTATTAGATGTACAGGAAAGGTATATATGATTATCACATTTACATCAAATTCTATCCTTATTAGGTCCTTCTTACTCAGATGTTCAGGAGATTTTATTTGAAGGACAAAAAGTTCAAATGTTTCCAAGCTGCTACAGAGGAAGCAATTGAAGCCCTTTGGGAACAGCTGCAAAAGTTTGGTCCTCCCTTAGGACATGATATGAAACAACCAAGCCTGAAAAAAGAACTTAAGGACAGGTATTAAATGAGTTTAATATCATTACACACAATCAGTATGACTTTTTATTTAAATCATACCAGATAGATGTGATCTGATAGACTATTGGATGAAATCAAATATGAATGTTCAAACAAATAATAGAAAATGTGTTTATATTTATAGTAACGTTTTGAAAAAGAAAATGATGTTGAAAGTTTGATTTTAGAGTGTACGACGTTCGGCAAAAAGTACTCGGCTTTGATTTAGGGATTTCTAAATGAAAACATTCATATACTTGAATGCATGACATTTTATAGCATGTTTAGAGATGTACTAGATTTAGTGGAAGCTGTTCTCCACCAAAGGCTCTAAACAGAATACATGTATATATTTAAATGTTATATGATTAGAGTAATACATAAATATTGCAATACATCTACAGAAAGCAGCTGGTGAGTGTGTTTTTTTTCTGCATGGCTTGGTAGAAACTATTGATATGCACAGCTTTTTACCTATTAACTTGGGGCTAAATCAAATTCTTTTTGCTATGGATGTACTAATAGTAACTTCAAGGTCCTAAAAACAGGTGCATGTATATGTGTTATTAAACCAAACTAGCTCTCCTAGTCTCTCTAACTCAATTTTAAATCCTGTATATTCTTTGTACCATATATACTGTAAACCTACATCATACCTACATATCAAATTTAAGTGTTTTGTTTTAAAAAAAAAACCTCTTTTGGACAGAAGTCTGGTAATAACAGAATTTATTTACAAAGCTTAAAAACACTTTATAATAAAAAATCTTATTTGAAACAAAAATAAATCATTTTCTTCCTTGACAGGCCCAAGCTTCAGGATTTTTTGGACCACTGTACAGTGTCCAGGTCATATTTCTTTACTATTCGTAAGTGTGGGAATCCAGAATGTCAGATATGCCTTCCACCTCGCCTGCCTCCTGATGTCTTTTCCCAGCTACATGCATTTCCAGATCCAGTTCCAGGTAAGTAGTCATCTCTATATTTAGTAGATTTATGGATTTAATTTATGAAAGTATTTAATGTGAAAAAGTGTCAATTTTACCATGTATTTCACAGGAGAGGATGGACATTACAAAGAGTTTGAAGAAGTCTATGGTACAGATACCACAGAAGAGTATCGTCCTTCACTACAGCAAAAGGTGCCAGGGCTTGCTGCAAACAGTCATGGCATACCCTTTGCTCCTTCTGCTCAAACTGGAAGAACTGTTGGCAAAACTGTGAAGTGTATAGCATGTGATAAACCAAGAGTCATTTATTCTACTCACAAACTTACAATGCAA